AGGCTTCGTAGGAGCACCCCAGCTTCTTAGAAGGCGCGGGCCTTTTCTGTAGATCTAAGGCCGGCGCCTTCTAAGAAGCAGCCTCCTTTACGAAGCCTTCTCCCCTCCCGCTACTCCCTGTTTCCTGCCGCCAAGAGAAGGTACCGATACATACGTTTTTTCAACCTTTTCGGCTTCCCGGGAGGCCCGCGTCGCCACCGCTGCATTCGCCTCGAAATTCTGCTCAGAACGCACCCCGGGAGAGACTTCCAGAAAGTAGTTGTATCAGTACCTTTTGGTATCCCCAGGGGGGTCTCGAGGAACACCAAATGGTATATGTATAAGCACAGGATTTCGGAGGTCCGCGCGGACCCTCGAACGCTCATCCTAAGCCGCTCGAGGCGGAAAGTTCTTAATGCCCCAGCGCCTTCATTTGCTGCGGGGCACAGGAACTGATATGGCTGCTCAGGTCCCCTCCCTCCCCGCCTGCCTCTCCACCGCAGCGGGACTCGACGCAGCAGCGCCCTGAAAGAGGCGGCGTGCCCTTTTTTGTCGAAGGGGCGGGGGCCCAGCTCCAAAGGCAGGCAGGCGTTCGCCCGAAGTGCCCTGCAGAGTCTGCGGGACTCCTGTTTTTGTTCGTTCACCAAAACATACAATAATAGATCACATGCCACAGCTTCAGAGCCCCGAATCATCAGGGGTAACTCGGGTCAGGGCTAACTCGGGTTTCTTTTTCGGGAATCCACACCCGAGTTACCCCGGACCCGAGTTACCCCGGATAACTCGGGCGCCCAACAGCTGTGCACCAATAGTTTCTTGAATTGTGGTGTTCTGGTTGGCGCCCTTTCTGAGTAACTCCTCCTTGGCGTCCTCCTCGGCGCGTCGGCTGGGCGGGCCCAGCGCGTCGCCTGAGACTTCCTCACCACTTGGTACCCTGAAACTTGATACTTGCAGCCCCTTCTGATGGAGGGCGGGCCGCTTTCGGAATGTGGTTATCGCCTTCGCGCCGCGCTCACTCGTCAAAACGATTGCGACCGCCTCACGAAAAGGGGGCCGGCCGTGTTCAACATGTGGTCTTCGCTTGAGCGTTGCGCGCAGTCGTCTCGGGATTTTGCAGCAGTCTCACGGAGGGCGGTTCCCTGTTCAAATGGTAGCTCTCACGTCAGCGCCGGGCGCATTTCTCAGCTTCACGGATGGGGGGCGTGCTTTTCTTTTTTTTCAATTTGTGGTTTTGGCATCCACGCCGAGCATATTCGTTTCGAAGGTTCCAATTGTTCCAAGGATTCGTATGGCTGATTTCCCAATCGTGGTCTCCATGCACAGCTTGGGCCTGCCAGGGCGTTACATTCGCGTTGGGCTCTGTTCTGACAAGACTGAGGATTCTCTGACAGTTGTTTTCCAATGGGGCAGTGCCCGCAATGTAAATGAGTGTTGGTAAGACCCTTAAAAGATGGAGCCTGTAGGGAGGGTGTGTTGCCACATCGTTGATGCGTTTGGTGTTTGCCTTGGCATTCCCCGTCCTCCTCCTCCTCCTCCTCCTCCTCCTCCTCCTCCTCCTCCTCCTCCTCCTCCTCCTCCTCCTCCTCCCCCCCCCTGCTCCTCCTGCTCCTCCTTTTCCTCCTCGCGCGAGCGTGCCGAGGTGCCCTCCCCACCCCCCGCCCCGGTGCGCCACGGCCCCCCTGGGCTCCCTGGCCGCCATGCCGCGACGGCGGCCCGCTCGGCGCGCCCCGCTCGCGCTGGCGGCCGCCGCCGCGGCCGCGCTGGCCGGCGGCGGCGGCCCGGCCTCGCGGTGGGCCCCAGCAGAGAAGACCCTCGAAGCTTTCTGCGTCGGCGGAGAGGCAGGGGTCGCATGCGCTAGTAGCGGGACCCAAACGGGGGTGCCGCTGGAGCGAAGGGTGCCACCATGCAGCCATGCAGGCGGGAGGTGGAGACAAGGCGGAGGGCGCGGCCGAAAGAGGGGGCGGAGGGAGCGAGCCGCTCAGGGGGACGGGTCACGCCCCGAGCGTGTGGCGCGGCCAGTCCCGCCGGCGGGCCGGCGGTGGTTGCTGCACCAAGACCCCCGAAACACGCACGACTCGAGCTACGATGGTGATCGTTTTCGTGTTCATTATTCTGCCGAGCGGCGCGGGCCCTGGCCCCCCCCCTCAGTGGAGTAGATCCTAGCTGTTTTCGGCGCCTGCTTCGAGCAGGTGAAGCCTCTCCCCTATGGGACGCACTGCTGTTAACAGCCGCATTAAGCAGAGGTCCCGAGCCAGACCCCCCCCCGCCTTCCCCCCCCTTTCCGCCCAATGTCGAAACGCCGAATAAGAAAACGCTCACGAGGTTCGAGGTTTTCGGACCCAGAGCTCCGAAGCTGGGAAAAGGTTGGAGCGGCGGCTCTGGGGAGGTGTTGGCCTTCCAGGGGCCCAGAGTTGGCCCCCGGGCCGCCTCAAAGATGACTCATTACGAAGAGCCTGGTATGTAGGGAGGTTGTCCTGATTTCCGAGGGTCCACGCATCAAACAAATTGCAGCGCCACTTGCCTGGGTTCGAGGTTCGAGGTCCTCGGACAGTTTCGTAGGTTCCCGGCGGAGTTTCAGCCTCGGGGTGCTATCTCGCCGACAGCTTTCCCAGGGCGCCCAGATCGTTCCCAACTGTCGCCGGAGAGCCGAGGATTTACCCGAAGGAGGGCAACGTTTGGGGGGGGCAGCAGTAGGCAGGGCCCCCCCGAGATTCGGGTGTTGCAGCTTCTTCTCACCGGGCGTTTTCGCCTGGTTTCAGGCCTTGGAGCTATCCCAGATTGGTCCGGTCGGAAAATTGTTCTTGATGTTTTGCGATGTCGCAAGTGTTCCCCAACGTCGGATCTTAGGGTAAGAGGAGGGCGATGGACGGGGGAGAAGAAAGTGGGGAAAGAACAAGGTACGACACCGCGACTCCCCAGACCTCTTCCAGGGTGCGTTCTGACCAGGATTTCGAGGCGAGTCCAGCCGTGGCGACGAAGGCCTCCCAGAAGGCCCAAAGAGGGGGAAACGGGGCAAGGGTAGAGGTATCAGTACCTCTTCCTCCTCTGAGAAACGTGCACTGTTCTTATATCTGCGGGCTGCGCGCGGAGCGTGCCGGGGAAGGGCGTTGTCATGCGGGGCCAGGCCGGCGACTACAAAGGGTGTGGTTACGCTAGGGTGTGGTTTGCGATCGGCACCGTTGGGGCCTGGCGGGCACGACGCTGCCCTCGCTAGGCCTCTCCTCGGGGCGCGGCGGCGAGCTCTGTCGGGGTCCTCGCCCGCTCTTCTCCAGGGCCCCCCCCAAGGGTGCCGGTGTTAAGTCGGGCGCGTCCGTCTACAGGAGGAATACGCAAAAATAGTCAAAACATAGTTTGGGGACAACGTTTTGATTATTTGTTAGCTATTTGGGGGCATTTTTTTCATCCCAAATCCGCCTGTAGGAGGACATGCCCGACCTACTGCCAGTTTTGCACACCACACCCTTCGGAGTCGCCGACCGGGACCGGCTCTCAGAGCGTTCCGGAGCGCTCTGGAGAAATCACCGAGCGCGTTCTACTACTCGCAAAGTGCCTACTCGCAAACGTCCGAAAAATCGGAGGTTGGGGGGTGAGATCGCAGTGAAACGGACACCCCCAACCGGGAAATCGTTTCGTTTCGTTCGTGTCGTGCGTGCGGGCGAGGCGAAACTGCGTGGGCGCGCGAGAGGAATGAAGCCGCCGTTGCTAGGGCGAAGTCAAGACAAAAGTTGCTCCCCCGTTCGTCCGTCCGTCCGTCCGGGTGTGGCCCTAGCGGTGTCCTGGGGTGTCCCGTGGTGTCCGCCGTTGCTAGGGCGAAGTCAAGGCAAATGTTTCGCTCCCGTCCGTCCGTCCGGCGGTGGCTCACGGTGTCCCGCGGTGTCCTGTGTTGTCCCGTGGTGTCCTGTAATGTCCGCCGTTGCTAGGGCGAAGTCAAGACACATGAATCTCCCCCGCCCGCCCGTCCGTCCGTCCGTCTGGCGGTGGCTCGCGGTGCCCCGCGGTGTCCCGTGATGTCCCGTTGAGTGAGATCGATAGTGAGCTCGATACTTAGATCGATATTGAGATCGATACTGAGGTCGATGTGGTGTCCCGCGTTGTCCCGTGGTGTCCCGTGGTGTCTCAAAAAGTGAGATCGATACTGAGGTCGACAGGTATCCCGTGGTGTCCCGTGGTGTCCCGTTGGGTGAGACCGATAGTGAGATCGATAGTGATCGATGAGATCGATAGTGAGATCGATACTGACTGAGATCGACGTGGTGCCCCGAGGTGTCCCGTGGTGTCCCAAAAAGTGAGATCGACTTTGAGATCGACAGGTGTCCCGCTGTGTCCCGTGGTGTCCCGTAGTGTCCCGTTGAGCGAGATCGATAGTGAGATCGATACTGAGATCGATGTGGTGCCCCATGGTGTCCCGTTGAGTGAGACCGATAGTGAGATCGATAGTGAGATCGACAAATGTCCCGTGGTTGAGTGAGATCGATTAAGTCAGATGTTGGTTCTCCCCTCCTCTCCCCCACCCCCACAACATCCTTATCACCCGAAGGGTGGTCGTATAGGTATATGTCGGCTACGATGTAATTGTTCGTAGATCCCTCTCGGAGTATCCAGGCAATTTGCGAGCAATTACTTTGCGAGTAGTGGAGCGCGCTCGTCTAAGGAAGGCCGCGGCGCCCCCAGGCGTCCTCTCCGGAGCCGCAGGATATCCGAGGTCCCCGATCTGTCTTGCGACCCGGTCCAATTTCTGCTCCCGCCCTGGCTGCGTCTTGCGCGGGGATGGTGGTCCAGCGCCGACCTCCTCCCCCTCCTCTCGGGGGAGCGTAAGACCCGGGTTTGCCAGGACTCGGGTTCGCCATCGTTTTTTGACGACCGCGACTCGGATTTTGACGAGGAGGAGTTTTGTGGGATGTCTGCAGCGGAAGGCCTCGTCAAAATGCAGGCTCGGCCTCGTCATTTTTTTGACGACCTCGTCGGGGATTTCCGAGTCCCCCGTACCCGGGTCTTACGTCTCCCCGATCCTCCTCCTCAAACAGAAGCAAAAAAGGACGCTGCTCGAGCCCATCCTCTCGAACGTCGACCCCCCTGGGCCCCTGCTCGCCGGGACGGGCGCTCGGCCACCTCAGACCCATCGGGCCCGCTCCGCGGCGGGAGGGCGCGCCATCCCTTCTGAAAGCACTGGCGCAGACCCCCGAAAGCCTCCTCCTCCTCCTCCTCCTTTTCCTCCTCCTGCTCCCCCTCCCCCTCCTCTTCCTCCTCCTCCTCCTCCTCCTCGTCAGGCTCATGTCGTTTCGGGGGTCTTCTGCCGGCGAGCTTCGTGCGGCCAGGGCTGCACCAGGCACAGGGGCGCCGCCCTCGGAGCATCCGGCAGCACGCCAAGGACCCGCGCTCGAAGCTCAGCCTCCTGGATGACGTGAAGGGCATGGCGGACGCCCCGAAACGGAAGTACTTGGTGATCAGGGGCAGCGCTAAGGGTGCATAGTCGAAGAAGAAGAAGAAGAAGAAGAATAAGAAGAAGAATCTATAGAAGAAGAAACCAAAAAGGAGACAAAATGCTATAAACATAAAATGTCGACGCTCTGCGGCGCAGAGTCTGCGCGGATTTCCTGGATCCGCGCTGGGCCCCCTGGCGACGCCTCCGGCGCCGCCCCTGACGCGCTGCGCGCGCCAGGGAGGGGATCCGGCGCAGATCCAAGAAATCCGCGCAGAGCGCCGACATTGTTATGTGTATGGCGTTTTTCTTCTTCTAGAAGCCTAGAAGGGCATCTCGGACGCCCAGAAGCAGAAGTATTTGGTAATCAGGGGCTACGCCAGTGCGTTTTCGTCGGTTCTCGGCGGCCGTCCAGCTCCGGCATGCCCTCCAGCAGCTGCGCCTCGCCGTGGTTGGGGCGGCGCTCCGGATCGCCTCAGTTACGGCCGCCGGAGGCCAGAGTTTGAGCCCGCAAACGATCATGGGCAACATTCGGACGGGGCCAGGACGAGGATAAATCCGTTCCAGAGCGAGCGCTCCGAGTCGAAGAACCAAAAGCGTCATAAACATAAACGTTTGGCGCTCCGCGCAGATCTCTTGGATCCGCGCTGGGCCCCGCCCCTGGCGCGCTCCGAGCGCCAATAGTTGATGTTGATGTCTTTTTGTTTTTTTTTATACGGAGAAGGCCGTGGCGCCCGAGACATTCTCCAGAACCGCCAGGTCTCAGAGATTCTCCATCTACCCTCACCCGATGTTACCTTCGTCCTAGCTTCATCTTATGCATCCACCCCGAGTCGCCCATGGATCGCCGATAGGGGCCCGCCACCCCGCCCAGGAACGAGCGGATTCGTTGAGTCTATCGGGGGCCCGCCGCTGACCGGTCGGCGATGCCTCGCCGAATCCCAGGTCGATGGGTGTCTTGCCAGTCGCAGTTGGCGCGTGTTACTTTCAGCGGGGCCTCGCGTGGGTCTTGGTCCACCAAAGAAACATACACAAAGACACCCTCAGATGGATTGTTCCTGGGTCTCAGGGGAGGGTGGCGGTGTGTAAATCACCACTGGGAGCCATCGATTTTCTACACCGCCGCCCACCCTGAAGGTACAGGCAACATTCGCTGGAGGGTGTCTGTGTCTATCGGAGTGAGAGGGCCGAACGGTCATTCACTGTCCCTGGGTGCGTGGCTGAGATGGGCTTCCGTGGTTCGGATTGTTTTTGTTGGTGGTGGTGGTGATGCCTTCTCATTTCTGAGTAACCGGAGGTTGGGGGGTGAGATCGCAGTGGAACGGAGATGCCCAACCAGGAAATCGTTTCTTTTCGTTCGTGTCGTGCGTGCGGGCGAAGCGAAGCTGCGTGGGCGCGCGAGAGGAATGAACCCGCCGTTGCTAGGGCGAAGTCAAGACAAATGATTCTCCTCCGTCCGTCTGGCGGTGGTCCGAGCGGTGTCCCGTGCTGTCCCGCGGTGTCTCGTGCTGTCCCGTGGTGTCCGCCGTTGCTTGGTTGAAGTCAAGGTGAATGATTATCCTCCGTCCGCCCGGCGGTGGTCCTAACGGTGTCCCGCGGTGTCCCGTGGTGTCCCGTGGTGTCCCGTGGTGTCCGCCGTTGCTAGGGCGAAGTCAAGACAAATGATTATCCTCCGTCCGTCCGGCGGTGGCCCTAGTGGTGTCCCGTGGTGACCCGCGGTGTCCCGTGGTGTCCCGTTCAATGAGATCGGGAGTGGGATCGACAAGTGCCCCGTGGAGTCCCGTGGTGTCCCGTCGAGTGAGATCGATTGTGATATCGATAGCGAGATCGATAGCGAGATCGATAGCGAGATCGATCGTGAGATCGACCGGTGCCCCGTGGTGTCCCGTGGTGCCCCGTTGAGTGATGTCGATACTGAGACCGATGTGGTGTCCCGAGGTGTCCCGTGGTGTCCCGTGGTGTCCTATGGTCTCCCGTTGAGTGAGACCGATTGTGAGATCGATAGTGAGACCGATAGCGAGGTCGAGAGGTGTCTTTCGGTGTCCCGTGGTGTCCCGTGGTGGTCCGCGGTGTGTGTGTGTGTGTGTGCGTGTGTGTGTGTGTGTGTGTGTGTGTGTGTGTGTTAAGTCCGTTCACATCTCCATTATATCAGCATATACGGAAACTGTATCGGCTCAGGTATTGGCATTTGTACTGACAGCAGTGCCCCCTGCGCAGTGCCCTGGGCAAGGAGTCCTACTCCTCGCATCTACTTACGGACCCCATATAGGCACGGCCCCTCGGCCGTCTTCAGAAACACACATGTTATCAGCCTTTTCTTTCACGTTCCTCGCTGTCGCGATTCGCGTCATCGTGGGCTCCGCCGCTTGGCGCTGCACCCTCGGGTCGCAGTGCCTGCAAACGCGCGGTGTCCTTGACGGCGCGCGCTCGCGACGGCCCCATGGAGAGGGCGAGAGAATCCGTGATGCCCGTCTCCCCCTTTTTCGGGAGAAGGCAGCGCTGACTCTCTAGCGGCTGCACTCGGGGAAATTCTACCCGATTCACCGATGCTGCCGACGCCAAGCCCCGCACAGTAAGAAACAAACGGGCCCTGGAGAAGTCAAATGAGATTGCGAAGTCGCTGTTTGGGGGCATCAAACTGAATGGGGGCATCTTTGCAGCCTTTAGTAAGACCGGAGAAAGCATGACGGAGGCTCTACGCTGCGCAGAGGAATGCGACATCCTGCTCAACAAGCACATGGACGGCCATGGACACCAATGACGAAGATGCACTGAAGGCGGCAACACAAGAGTTGCAGGAACAAGAGAAAGAGCTGCACGAGATGGGCGACCACAAGACGGCGAACAACACTGGATAATAACTGTCGGCGCACCTCAAGGCGCAGGGCTTCGCGGACAAGCTGAGCGACAACATGCGGCTGTTCAGCGCGTGCAGGAGGGGCGCAGGATGGGGCGAAAAGGACGTAGCCTGCTTGCGCGGGCTTGCCTCCCCAAACAAGTTGCGGCAGGGGGCCCCGGCCCCGGCCCGAGAGGGGGCAGGTGGCAGTTCTGGCGCACGGTGGGCTGGTCGCAGCTCGTCCATGCGCAGGAGAGCCACGCCGAAGATGTTCTCATGAAAGGGTGGGTGGACAGGATGAAGGACGCGTTCGGCGACGACTGCGAGGGGTGGCCAAACATCGGGTGCAAGTCCAGGTTCCTCCCGCGCACGAGTGGGCCGTCGATGGTGGCGGAGCTCAAGGCGGGGAATGGGCGGGCGGGTGGGCGGGCGGGGGGGGGGCGCCGGCGCTCGCAGCGGGAAGGCTGCCGCAGTAGCTAGACGACGCCATCGACGAGTGCCGATACCATTTCTTCTACCCCGCCCAAAAGACGAGCCCAGGGGAGCTGTTTGAGCTGACCCCCGCGCCCTCCCCGACGACGCACGAGGTCATCGTCGCGAGGTGCCTTGTGGGCGCGCGGGAAAGGGCAGGGAAGAAGGCCTTTACTGTGCAGAGCTGGCGCGAGCTGGCGCTGAAGATATCAGAGAACGACGAAGAGAACCTCCGCGCAATCATGAAGGTCGCCGTGAAGGAGCTGAGCAACAAGGACAGTCTCGACCCAGGGGAAGTGAAGGGGCTCAAGGAGCGCCAGCAGCTACGAGACAGCGCGCAGACTCTGCTGGATGACACCGAGATCTTCGAGACAAAGTTCGGCTACCCCAAGTCGGGGGAGACGACCGCGGCCAGCTCCTCCAATGGCCGCCAGCGAGTGCACCCACTGGAGCCCACTGGGAAGCCAATGCATTAGAGAGGTTTTCTTGGAGTGCTACTCTGGGCAAGCTGGTCAAGCCCGCAGGCAGGCAATATATGCGTTAGCGAGTTATTCCCGGAGTACTATTCTAGGCGAACAAGATGGGCAGCGCGGAGTACTCGCAGCGTCATCACAATCGGAAGTCTGTTTTTGGATGCCGACAGGTATATTATTGCAGGGTGCTGAAGGGGAAAAGTGCCTTGGTGGCCCCACCTACTACATACCATGACTACCAGTACGCTCTACCCCACATACATCACGAGGGGGAACAGTGGGATACTACAAGGGAGTATCAGAGAACAGACATGGGACAACTCTCGGCCAGGCCGAGAAATGAGCCGAGCGGGAGAGGGGATATTATAATTAAAACAGTAGGGTAAGCAGGCCTCCCAGCAACAGTTTGGGGACACAGGCCTCCCGACCCTCCCCTTCTCTGGAGTTGTCGTGTCGTCGTCCCCTCTAAGCCCGCGCGTCCCCCCCCCCCCCTAGGACACGCGGCAGTTGTTCCCCCCGCGCTGGCCCGCAGGGGCTCGTGATCGTAAGGCCGCGAGTTTCTCCTACGGGGCCAACTCGGAGTTCAGTCCTTGAGCCACGTGGTCTGCCCCCTGCCGGCCTTCGTGCGGTTGGGTTGTCGCACAACCGATCGTAACGGATTTTGGCAGAAGCCCGCAGGGCACCATAGTAGGCGATGAACCCCCTTGTGCGGATGTCCTTGTCCTTGTCCTTGTCGTCGTATTCCTCCTCCTCCTCCTCCTCCTCCTCCTCCTCCTCCTGTGTTTCCTCCTCCTCCGCCCCCTCCTTCTCTTACTCTTCCTCCTCCTATTGCTCCTCCTCCTTCACCTGATCCTTCAACAGTAACGCTCTAGTTGTATTTCCTGCATGTGTACACGTACTTATGTATATGTCTGTATAGACATGCGTGTATGTGTAAAGCTTTTGTTAGTTCTGAAGAAAGCGACCGCCGTGCAGGCGATTCGATGCCACAGCGACATGACCCTCGTCACCCTAAGCGCACGATGTCCCCCCCTCCCCCACCCATCTCCCCTCCAAGCTGAGCCCCCAGGTGAAGAGCCCAGAGGAAGCTGCCGAAGGCAGGCTCTGGAAGGGCGTTGGGGCCGTCGTGATCAGTCTGATCGTGCTCGTCGGGTTTGCGCTCTATTTCACCAACACCATGCAGGCGTCCAACGAGGAGGATCCAGGAACAACAAATGGCATGAACAAGAACTCTCGGAGATCAGCGCGGATTTTGGGATCGGCGCTGGACCCCTGGCGGCGCCGCCCCTGCCTCGCTCTGCGCGCCGGGAAGTGGGACCCAGCGCCGATATGAAAAATCCGCGAGCACCTGAACGACGCCACAGTCCACGCGCCTAGTAAGGACGCGCGCCTTCATCTGGGTACCCTTGTGTCCTTGCCTCTGCGGCCCCTCCTTTGCCGCTTTCAGTGGTCGCCCGCCGCCCAGAGAATCCAAGGCTTCGACCTCCAAGGGTCTTGCGTCCTTACCCCCTACCTTTATTCGAATAACGAAATCCGCCATTAACATAAAACTTTAGGCGTTCCGCGCGGATTTGTTGGATCCGCGCTGGGCTCCCCTGGCGGCACCTCCGACGCCGCCCCTGGCGCGCTCTGCGCGCCAGGGAGGGGGACCCAGCGCAGATCCAAGAAAACCGAGCGGAGCGCCAAAAGTTTCTGTGATTGTGTATGGCGTTGTTGTTGTTTCTTCTTCTTCTTCTACTTATTATTATTATTATCAGTCTTCTTCTTCTTCTTTTTCTTCTCCTTCTTCTTCTTCTATTGATGCACGTTTTGACTGCAGTTTTGTGCAGATTTCTCTTTTCCAAAGGAGGCCGCCGAGGCCAGCGCCCGCCAGCAACCGGCGCAACAGACGGGCTATATATACGCGGGTGGCGATTTCATTGTGCCCAACCAGAAGGTCGCGGACGCCCTCAGCACCGGCGCCACAGGCCGGAGCCACAACTGAGCGACGCCAGAAAACCGGGTCGTTTGCCGACACTGGCGCGTGAGTGGCCCGCGCAAGGTCGCGCCTAAGCCCAGCTGTCTTTAACGTAGCGTGCCGCGCGGCTTGCGTAAGCCGCTGCGCAAGGTCGCTACGTCACCTCGCGTAAGACCCGCTTCTGATCGCCGCTCAACTGTCGACTGCAACTCAGAGTGACCTTTCGCCGGAGTGGCCTCTGGTGCTCGCCAAACGCAAGGCGGTAGTAGCGCCCTGCACGCTCGTGTTTGCTTCCTTCGCGGCCCCTCACAAGCCGCGCACCGGAGGTCACTATTACCCAGGGCCATTCCTCCGGTCGCAAATCATGGGGGCCTGGTATACCCTTCCAATTCTCTCTTTCGCATCGATCGGCGTCGATTGGCGTCTGGGAGTCGATGAGGTGGCGCAGATTCAGCGTCGATGAGCGTCGAGTTCGCGTCAACGAGCGTCGATTCGCAAGAGCCGACAAGATAATACGGGAGGCTCCCACGAGTTGCCACCGGTCACTCGCGCGTGCAGTCGCAGCGGGGGGAGCCGCGGCGGGGCCGGCCGCCCCCTTTGTGGGGGGGGGGGGCTGTTCGATGCCGGCGCCTGCCTCCGAGCTCCAAGGCTCCGAGCAAAGTGGCCGTCGACCTCCTCGTCCTCCCTCCCCTCGCGTCGACCTCCTCGCCCTCCCTCCTGTCGACCTTGCCCTCCCTCCCTCGCGTCGACCTGCCGCCGACCTCCCGTCGACCTTCCGTCGACCTCCTCGCCCTGCCGTCGACCTCGCGTCGACCTCCCGTCGACCTCCCTCCCTTGCGTCGACCTCCCGTCGACCTCCTCGCCCTCCCTCCCGTCCGCATCCTCCTTGCCAATGTTCCTCACCATTTCCAGGAGGTCAGCGGCTCCAGAAATCCGCGTAGGGGTCGACTACAGAATTGATGTACCCCAGAGTTGAAATTACCGTCGAATATACCGAGGAAAAGGTGTATGATGTTCTAGATGTACGAACAATATACGTTTTTGTTCAATAATTCGGTAGATCTTGGCTGTTTTTTGGCGCATGTTTCGAGCAGGTGGAGTCGCCCCCAGGGGAAGCACTGCTGCAAACAGTCGCACTAAGCAGAGGTCCGGAGCCAGACCCCCTCCCTCCCCCTTCTCCGCCCAATGTCGAAACGTCGAAATAAAAAATGTTCACCAGACAAGTCGACTGACTGAGGAAATCTGCAGTAGTTCACTCGGCATTGGCATTCGAGTGTGCCAGTGTAGTCCCCAGCCGGTTTCGCTAATCGTCGCGCGTCTCGCCGGATACGTTCGGACGTTTTCGGAGGTCGATTCGCTAGCCAGTTCGGGTGTGCCAATCGGAGTGCGGTGCGGTGCGCACGTGGAGTTTTCCCTCCGCCCCTTTCACCAGAGGGCGTCATGCTAAAGGGTGCTCTTGTCCATCTTCGACACAAAACGGCACATGTCGGCTGGCCTCGCGGGGTTCTAGGGTCGGCACCAGAGGCGGCTGCAGAGCCAGAGGCGGCGGTGATGGGACGCGGGAAAGGGAGCCCAGCGCCGTTCCAGGAAGTCCGCGCGGACCTCCCAGAGGTTCTGCTCATGCCTATGTCTTGTCTTCCAGGTACACGCCAGTCGTTGGAAGTAGGTGTTTTTGGATTTCCAGATCCCAGTGTACTTCATGCGCCTTTCTACTTCGAGAACCGATATGCTTTTGCTGCGTTCTGTCATTCTCTGGGAGGGCCTGACCCCGATCTACTTGAGCACTGCCCACTCCATGAGTGACCTACGTCTTCCTACCGACGTGCAATTGATACAGGCATCCTCGGCGTCGCCCCAACATACTCAGACTATGTGTGCGTCGCCCTCCCAGGGGCGACGCGCGCACCGAGAAATCTGGTAGTACATGCGCCGTGGCGGGCGCTGTCTTGCCATACCGCTCGGGAAACGATTTACCACAAGATGGTCAATACTATCTGTTCGGGTCGGACGCACGCCTGCAAGGCGGACGTATAGTACTATGGTATGTTTATGTGGGTCCCACATCCAGCGCTCAATTCTTGTTTCTAAGCGTGTGCCCCGCGGTGCCCGGCCAGGGCCCCGCCGGAGGCCGAAGATCGTCAAGAGCCCGCCAGGGTCCCTGGGAAGCAGGAGGAACAACACACACGGACACAAGGAATCGTCGTCGACTCCAACCCCCAAATTGCAGAGACCGTGGGAAGTGGAGGGGAAGGCGAGAACCCCGACAACAGACATGCAGAAACACGTGGGGGATCTTGGGATTTGCGCCTGCCTGCTTGTGTGTCCCTGGGCCCCTTCAGATCGGGCGATCGCAAACACGGATCAAGGGGGTGTGGATTAGCGACGGCTCCCGTTTCCATGGGAAATCGAATGAGGCGGCACCAGCCGCATTTGGGGGAGGGCACCTCCTCCGATCCATGGACTTGGCGACCGCGCGCGAAATCCATGGATCGCTAATCCATGTTTGCGCGCCCCCCGGGTGTCCGAGGGGGATGTCCCGAGGGGCCCACTTGTCGCCGATGGGGGTGCACTGAGGGTGTC